GTCACCCTGGAGGGATGGCATTACATTTGATGGAAGAGAAGCCTGGATCTACTGCTCTGTTAGAGAAAAAGAGTGATGTGACCAACTACTGTTTCATCATGGTGAGAAGTATAGTGGCTTAGAATTAAAAATTAAGAAAAGCTGTGTGACTTTTTTTAGAAATAGTGCAAATGGGAAAGAAATGCACAGGGAAGTTAATCAGCATATGAGCAAAATGGCATCTGAAGTGTGCCAGGAAAATGTGACACTGAATTAGGCGGTGCTGGAAGAAGAGGGAATAATACTGAGAATAACAGTTAACAACAGGTCTGGTTTTAAGTTTAGTATGGGCCTTCTACATTTTTAATTTTCTGCAGCTGTTATCATCTGTGCAATACAGATTACATCAAACAAGATTATAAATCTTAGGAAGCTAATTGCAAAGATAACGTGAAACACTAATCTAAAATTTTCACTTGCACCAGTTTAGTATTTATATTCACCTCTGTGATATACCTGTTGTGAACTGTGTTAAAGTTAAGGAAAAGCTCTTGCAGCAGTTGCAGCCCATGTGAGTTTTTCTACCAAAGTACCAATTATGTGTGAAGGACCATGACTGCATTCTTCATCACTTGAAACCTGAGTTGTATTCCAGTGGGAAGATTGTGGGGAAGAGGAAAACACAGGCTGATGAATGGAAGAGGGAGAGTTGTGTGAGATAGAAGAATGTATAAAATACAAGAAAATAAAAAAAAAAAGGTAGAATGACAGGTTATTGTGAGGTTTGTGCTACCTCTTCTTTTCAAAAGGTGCCTGTTACAATTAAGGATGAAGTCATGAGGTAATCCAAAGAACTATTTTTGTGTATTCAAAAGTGGAAAGAATGTTCTTAGTGAAATTCTTGCTGTATTGGAATTCTGACTTCTGTTTGTGTTGATCTAGTTCATATTCTGTTGATACAAACCCTTTTGTTACCAACTGAAATATTAAAACTCTTCTAAAAATTTGACTTATTCAATAAATCCAATCTCTTTTGATTAGCTTTATGATTTTATATCTTGGGGGAGTCAGCCTCTTCCAACTTGTTTGCTGATGATACCAAACTGAGCAGGGAAGTGGACACTTCACAAGGGAGAACCACCCAGCAGGGAGACCTGGATAGGCCAAGAACCTTATGAAGTTCAGCAAGGACAACTGTAAGGTCTTGCATTTGGAAAAACGTAATCCAGGAGTGCAGCACAGGCTGGGATCTGCCTGGCTGGGGAGCACCTCTTTGGAAAGGGACGTGGGTGTTCTGTGGACAGCAAGTTCAATATGTGTGAACAATGTGATGCTGAAGCAAAGAAAGCCAGCAGGGTGGTGGTTACATCAACAAGAGCATCACCAGCAGAGATAAAGAAGTCATTATCCAACTCCACTCAGCACTTCTCAGGCCACACCTGGAATACTGGCTTCAGATTTGGTCCCAACTGTACAAAAAGATGTGGATGGGTGGAAAAAGGTCCAGAGAAGGGCCATCAAGATGATCAAAGGACGGGGAAGCTGCCACATGAGGAAAGGGTGAGAGAACTCAGTTTGTTCAGCCTTGAGAAAAGAAGGCTTAGAGGAGACCTTATCACCATGTTCCAGTGTTTAAAGGGTGGCTGCAGAGAAGATGGAGCCTGCCTTTTTACAAGGAACCATGTGGAAAAGACATGGGGTAATGGGTAGAAGTTACTCCCTGGGGAATGTGAGTTAGTCTCCCTGGGGAGATTCCACTTGAATCTCCCACAAGAGGAAAATTTTTCACAAGGACAATCAGCCACTGGAATCATCTCCACAGGGCAGTGGTGGATTCCCCAGTGTTGGACACTTTAAGATTTGTATGGACAGGGTGCTGGGCCACCTTGTCTAGACTCTGCTTTTGCCAAGAAAGTTTGGACCATATCATCCTTGAGGTCCTTTCCAACCTGGGATTCTATGATTTCATGATTGTGTGTAATCATCTTAAATTCAGCCTTAACGCCCTTAAAAGAGGGGATGTTTAAGACAAGACAGAAAGATGTCTTTGGCTGGTTCATGCTTTCTGGGAAAAACTATGGTGAAAGTAGACTGTCATCTGCTTTCTTCCAGTAGAATAAAGATAAGCACACTTAGCCTTGGGTAAACAGTGCCAAGAAAAACCTGTTCTTAATTAAAAAACACTCCTCCTGCCTCTCCCCAGTACTTGATATATTTCACTGAATCAAGGGCTGTTTTGTCTTCAGAAAAATGGCTTCAAGAAGTACTAGTAACTGTGTTAAATGTCAGGAGTTTAGATTGAGACATGGACTCTATGTGACTTTGTGTTCTTCATAGAGCAATTTAAAAAAAAATAATTTAAAGAGTAGATTATGTTAATCTAACATGAAGACTGAAGTACCTGCAGTCCACAAAGCCTTCATACATCTGCCTTGACATCTAAATATGTAAGTGTCAGCGGTTTTCAGTAGTAAGCCATTTAAGTGACTAAAACTCTACTTCTGCACAGACAGCACTGCTGTTTTGGCTTGTCTTCTGCCCAAGTTCTTCTGGAATCCTGAAATTGAGTGCCTCCTGCTCATAGCCCTCGTACAGAACTCTTTAATGCCCATTCCTGGAAGTGAGTTCAACACAAAGTGTAGCAGCCCTGGCTGTGACACACTAATCACAAAGACTCTGTAGGAATCAGGGAAGGAAATGTGGAAAAGACAGGGAGTTGGTTGTTGAGAATAAATGTGAAACTTGCTAAGACAAGAGGCAAATGCAGAAGGCTGAGTGGGGGAGTAAAGCAGTGAGAAAAACATTGGAAGGTGAAAAGTTCTTCTCCTAGTGGAGAGATGATGCTGAGATTTAAAGGAGAACTAGTATGTGAGAGCTGGAAGCTGGTGGGAAATAGGGTTCTGGTTGCAGGGAGGGGAGGGAGCAATACATCGTGTCATGAAGTTGATGAGAACAAAGCAGTCATTGGAAAGAGGCAAAGAGGCAGAAACAGGAGACGAAGCCTGATGACAAAGAGTGTGATGGGGATGGTGGCACATGTCCCCAGGATTGGCAGTGGTACAGCTTGGGTGAGGAGAGGCAGCCAAGTTTTGAGGGAGACTTTGAGTGTCTGTACTGAACAATATGGAGCCTCTCCTCAATGGTTAGTGTCTTCAAAAGAGCTGGAAATTAAACAGAGCTTGGAAAGCTGGCTTGAATAATGTGAGTTACAAACAACTAGCTCTGCAAAACTGGGGAGAAGAATTAAGGTTGTTTAGAATACATTAACTGAGTTCCCCTGGACACATGCTTTATGATAGAGTTTTAAATTATATGATCTCAGAATTGTATGGTATTTTCAGCTGGTTCAGAAGTGTACAAAAACAGTGTAGCAAAGGAGAGAGAATTTCAGGAACTTACTTTAAAGATAGGAAAGATGCATTGTCTAGTTAAGGCAAATGAAAACAGCTTTCTCAGAAAATTTGTCACATAAGGCTTGTTAGTCTGATAAATGAGTTTTTGGAACCTCTGGTTGAACACTGAAGTTCGTAATGCTCCTAATTCAAAGGTTTTCATTCTTTAAGTTCACAGACTATGGGCATCACATGATGTACCTCACAGGGGACTTGTGACACAGTCTGTTACCCTGACAGCACCAAAGAGGAGACCTGTGTATTTCTGTCCTCCAGAGTGCTGTTCTGAAAAGGCACAGAATAATCTGGAGTAGGTAACGTGTTGTGCTGTGACCTCATGTAGTTCAGTTAATTTGTAGATTATCAGTACTTTTTTTTTCTCCTGAATTTACTGAATTCTTCAGTAATCACTGAATGAGCTTGGAGGTCTAGTAGGAAAAAATTTCACATCATCACCTAGATATAAACAAGGGGGCTCAATTAACTCCAGATACTAAAAAGTTAAAATTTGGAATCCTGAAGTGCTTACCTTAAAAATTTGTCCGTTTTGACCTTGTCAGGCACCTTTCTTATTTTAAAGATTTTTAGAGTTGTTGAGGATGTCCAGTGTGCAAAGAAAACTTAAAAACTAGGAAGCATAGTTACAGCTAGTTAGTTTTTTAATTTCTGGCAGCTTCTGGTAAAATTTTCTTAGACAAACTGTGCTTACTTTTCCAATTAGACATATTTACTTGCATGATGGAGAAGATGAAAAAATTATTTTCTTTTGATCCGATATAATTTTATTTTAGGGGAACTAATTCCATTTTTACTGGTTATATTCTGATCATGGTCAAGCATAAGGCTGTGATTACTGTTTAAAGAGACTAGTTTCAGTCTATGGTTGTGTCATATCAAATACATTGCTTTTCAACTCTTGTTATTGCTAGATGGGCTGCTCTAAATTAGATGGTCTAATTCTGGAAAATTTGAATATGTGCAGGTGGACTTTTGTGTCAGCAAAGCCACACTTATTTAATTGGAGCTCCATATGTCTGCAAAAATTGATTCCATATGGTTGAATAGCACATTTTGGAAATGTTTCCTTATTTTGACTATTGCCAGGGGAAAGTAGAATAAGCTTATTTTTTGAGCTCCTCCTTAACTAAGTGACAGTGCACCTGTACACAAACCTTCTTTCAATTTTTAAAACAGTAGTTGAATATGCAGGATCTTCTTGTCCCATGTTAATAGATTTAAGGTAGCTTAAACCTGCTGCTAACAAAGCCTTAACTGTGTTGGTATCTGTACTCCTAAAAGCAAGTGACAAAATACATCTAACTGATGCAATCCCACCTTCTACTAGGTTGAATTTACATGGGCTGTCTCACAGAAAACTGTTTTATAAAGGTTATCTAAAAATAACTTGTATGTAGAACTGGTCAAATAACACCCAGTCTCTTTGTAGGGGAAAAAAAGCTTTGAGTTTGCTTGTGGTTAAGCAAATCGATGGGAAACAATCCTGTAAGAAGGAGGAGATCTAAATGTTTAAATTGCTGATAATCTGAGGCTATAAGAGTCATTATAATTGAGAGATGAACTTACAAGGAGTACTGTAAATTGATTTTTTCTTCGTTTTTTATTCTACACAGGTACCTAAGGATAAAACTGGCCTGAAGGGAAAATTTGGGGGAAACTGGGGAGCTTGACTGTTCTTCGACCTGAGTAAGTGGATTCTTATCTGGAAATCAGCTTTACAAAATGTTGAAACTGCTGAATATTTTTCAGCATCTCTGTGCCTGATTACACTCTGTAACTTGACACAATACCTTGGCTTTTGAGTTGAAAAAGACTTGAAGTACTAGGGCTAGCTAAAGGGACTGTTGTATAAAGCCTCCAGTGCTTTGCAGTAGGGTTGCTTTTTATTGCTGTCCTTAAAGATGCCATAAAATTAAACACAGATTATATGCAGGATTTCTTGGTGGTTTGGTGTTTTGCCTTTTCAGTTGTTTATCTTGAGACTAATTTCTGAGTTTGAACTACCTCCCTGTTTCATAAACCCAATCTTCTTGGTTTGTGATCATAATAAGACAGTGAGGTTGAGCAGGACTGAAGTCCTAAGAAGAGGCAAGGTTATGTATTAGGCCTTTATAGGATGAAGGCTGAGAAGATGACCCCGTGGTGGCCTAGTATGGTTGTCTTGGAAAGGGCAAATGTACATTGCATGTTGTTGGAGGCATAACCTATTGATTCACTTGGATTTGGTTCCATTAAAATAGTTGGATTATTTCTTCATCAGCCTTGATGGGCCATGTGGCAGATGTTCCTAGGCTTTTGAAGGTCCTCAGTCCCAAACTCAGCCTACACAGGTTTCTGAAAAAGCAGGAAGGTGATTTTTCCTTTATCCACGTCACCTCCTTTCCTGGCAGTCCCAGCATTATTCTGGTTACAATAAATAGCTTTACATGTCAAAAAGATACTTCATTGTATTACTTAACGTATTTATTTATTCATACATATTCATGTATGAAATGTATGTAATATTAATGAGCAGATAAGTATAGTATAGCACAAATTTTTTTGTACTGGTAACATGCTTTTAATAATGGTCGAGTTAACTGAGCTTTCTGAAACAATTGGCAGAGCTGGAGCCTTTCTTCTTGCTGGCATTTAGTATGCTAAAGGTATTAAGTTTAGTTTTGGAAGGCTTCAGTAAGTTGGATATCCTTAACTGCTATCTACATTAAATATTACCAACACTACTTACCAGCTGAGCGTCTCTGTGTAACCTGGTGTAAACTTGTTATCAGTCCATTTTATTCCAGATCTGTGCTGTGGTTTAATTATATTCTTGTACTGAATGCATGAACTTATAAATTGATACATCATGTCACAAAGTAAAAAACTGAAGTTTATTTTGCCACAGAATTTACTGTGTTTATCTTTTTGTGGTAGAGTAGTAGACAAAAAAGTCATTGCTTTTGATATTAAAGAAAATTAAATATATAACTTAAATATGCCAGGCTTTGTGAGCTATACACACGTCGGACTTCTAATTCATTCAGAAACGCATCATGGCAGCATTTAACATTATAATTCTTTGATTTGTAAGTTAGGTAATGGATCACAAATAATGTCTGAGACTGCACTGTAACGAGCTGGTTGCTCTCTTGTGCGTTCGTGGTTCTCACTGAAGTTCTGGTTCCTGCAGGTACTGTGCCTTGCCACACCTGGGCACGCTCATAGTGCATGGCTTTAGGAACTGGGCCTGTGGACTAACAAACAGTTGTAAGGTTTATAAAGGAAGAGAGTTTCAGTATTCTTAAATGATAATGGCATGTTTTGAAATCAAAATTGGCTCAACAACTCTGTTTTAAATCCAGCAGAGACCTCTGAGAGGTATTTTTGCCTTGTTTCTTTCAACGTCTACACTAACACGTGGCAAATGTTTTTATGTATGTCCTGTGTTATCAGTCCTACTCTGCGAATTTTAGTCTATTGCTCTTGACAGTGATGAAAGGCAGGTATTTCCTGGCCTTTTGTATTTTGGGTGCTACGGCAGCTTAGCTGTTCATTTTGGGAATATTTTCTTCTGCAGTCTTGTTCTCATTTCCTCATTTAGAAGACAGCACTAGAAATTCCAGGTGCAATTGCAGGCTTCATGGAATTACAGTTTAAATTTTGTGCTGGTGTACATGAGGAGTTTGCCCATACAAAAGAATGGTGGGCATTTTGCTGGGCTGGAGAGCTTTTAGGTGTAATAACTTCTGCCTTGACAAAGATACCCTGTCAGTGTTACATTACCTTTTGCTTGAAAATTGTCCTTAATTCTTGTTGTTTGAGGAAGGCTGAAGTCAATAACAACTGAACTAAGAGATGGGGCTAATCTTGAGTAAATTGTGTATTCTATTCCTTTATAAATACAGGATTGATCTGTGCTCTAACTAAATTAGAGCAACTGTTTTTATCCAGTTTATTATTTGCCAGTTGTTGTACTTAGGGCATAACCTACAGATTTTCTCACTCCAACTTTGAATGCCCTGGGGCAACATTTCCTCAGTTAAGCATGGAAAGGAGCTGGCCTCGGTTTTGGGAGCATCCTTCACGTAGCAGTTCGTGTGCCTGGTGTTCTGGGAAGATCAATGGGTTTGTGCAAATCTTCATCTGGGTAAATCTTCATCAAGGTAAAACGTGTCCATGATGGAAGCTCTCGTGGACTGCATTATGTTCATTTTCAGGCCTTGGTAGGTAATAGTGTGTGCCATACTGAGGGGATGAAGTGAAGCCAGCTGGTACTGTTGCTACAGCCTGTTGATACTGTAGGATGAAGCTCTTCCACTTCTTTTAGCAGTCAATTTCAGGGAGATTGGTATTATTTTTGTAAACCCTAGCGCTGGTTTTCTGACAGTTCCTAAAGATATCATACACTCTGCTATTGATAGGCCAGAAGTCTCTTGGGATTTAGAACTCTACAGTGTCTCTCTCAGAGATCAGTTAAGTTGCTAATTAAAGTTGTAGCAACTTAACATCTGAAAGCCTTAAAAGGTTGATGTTTGGTGTGACAGTTCTAGGAGGTTTTTAATCTTATGAGAATTTTTTGTTTGAGGATTTTTGTGGTTTTATATTTTTGAGAAGGGTTCTTTGTTGTTTAGAAAGTGCGGTTTGAGTAATGGAAAACTCTAGTAGCTGAAATTGAAATAAAAAGGAACCAAACAAAGCTATTTAAATTATTATATTTGTTAAAATAACTTGCTCTCAGACAGCAAGCAGAATTGTATTTGCAACTTTCTGTCTTTGAAAGACAACTTTGATCAGACATAAAATGATGATGAAATTACATTTCCTTGTTTTGCTTGAAGCCAAGTGTCGCAGCCTTTCATTGGTGTATGGAAGGTTGTGTATCACTGAATTTGAAAGGTACCAAAGTCCTGTGGTTGGCCTCAGTATTAAAATATATAGACACTTACGCTTTATGAGGCTGTAAACCAGATAATTCATCACTGGTGAGGATGTGGGGGTAGACATGGACTTTTAAAGAACAGTATGTCACATTTACAAATTCCTTTGGAGGGGGAGTGTTTGTTTTTAGGGATTCCTGGAGAGTGGAAGCCTGTTATGGTGGCATTGTCTGTGCAATAAATCATGTGCTTTGCCTAGGTTGGGTGTTTTTTGTTTGGGTTTTTTTGAAGATCTAAGACCATTTGAACATTCTGTCATAAAAAATTACTAGTATCCTCTTTGTAAACACAGAAGAGAGGGGGAAGGGATTTTATTTTTGGGGTTTTTTTTGAGTATGATATTCTCACTGTCTGTGTAAATAAATGATAGCGTGTCACACAATTCCTCTGAACAGCAAGGTATTGTATTGCTGGTGCCTGCCCAAGTAACATAGAGTGAGAGGGAAGGAGGGGATGGCCAGGGGGATATGTATGGGAGGTTGGCATTGTGGTATGAATGCATCGATGCTGTGGCTTTATCAGGGGGGATGCTCATTACAGGGTGCTTCATCATCTATTCGCTGCTCTTCAATATTTAGAAAGCATCTTTAGTGACCCTTTTTGCAAACCAGCTCATGCAGTAACTGGCAAAACAGAAGCAATTAGTGGTGTAATCTCAAAGGGAATCTCAAGCTTCACTTTAAGTGCAATGATTAAATCCACTAAAATGATAACCATTGCTTGCTGCCAAGAACTCCTGTAATTGGTCACTAATGTGTTTTGTTGTAGCAGTTGATAACTACTGGATTTTGTGGCTGTAATTAGTAGTGCATACACGTTTGGTCAGTAAAATTGAAAATCCTAATAACTGAGGCTAGAGGGGGTGGGAAGAGCACAGAGCTGGAGAACTGAAATAGTGCTCTGTTGACAGTACCTAACTAGAGCTGTATGCTTCAATAAAACAAGTGTCCTACTGTGCTGGAATACAAATGGGCTGTCTGTGGCAGGATATAGCAAAGACGTTTGGCAGAGAGGGATTTGAAAGCTTCTGGCATAATGTAATTGAATTGGCCATTTCTTTAAAGATACAGCAAATTGTTTGTCGTGGCATTCATCATCATAAGGAAGGTCAGACAGCTTGCCAAACATATGATATTCATAACAAAAAGTAAAATGGTGACGCTTACATTTAAACACAAATCATATTATCGTATTTGTAAAAGCTGTGGAAATGAATGGGAGTATTTTTGGTGGTGCTGAGGCATTAGTAATCTAAGGAAGACTGTAATTCAAGTGAGGGAAAGCATGTCGTCAGGGAAAAGACCCCCAAGGGAATTCAGCTAGTGAGCAACATGCGATCCCTCTGACTTGAGAGGACAGATAATAGGTGTTCTGGCAGCAGTATTGCTGACTCTTTTCAGATCACTTAAGGAAGATAAGTTCGTATGATCCTCTTTTTTTTTTTTCCCTTTTAGGAAGACAAAGGGGAAAAATAACAAAGAGGAAGGACTTCAAAAGTCTAAAAAGAGACAAAATCTAAACTGAAGCATTGCTGGGTTTTGTTAGGCAGTTGCGCTGTGACAGAAGGAGATGATGCAACAACCTGTAGCAGATCTGAAGTGTTGTGTGAAGTGCTCAGTATTGGCACACTGGGAAACCCCTCTCGAGCCAGGTCCAGAACACTGAACAGAAATTGCACGCTGACAGGGGCTTTGGGCCAGACGCTGATGCCTCTGCAAATGAGTAGCTGTTAGCTTTTAGGTTCTAACACATTCAGGAGACTGGCAT